TTGCGCAGGGACCATGCTAATTTTCTCTGTATCGTTCCAATTTTAACGGATGTCCCAAAGGACAATAGACCAATGATATCTAAGTTCTGTTTGTACAAAATTAACAATAAGTTCCCTCAATTCTGCTCCTTCCAGCCCCACTCCCTCTCTCTCCTTGACATTAGCATCCTTAATTCTAAATTTCCTTCTTCTGATAACGGCGTTGATTGAAAGCACAACAATCAAGGATGAACGAAGAGGAGGAGGATTGGCCTGGTGTGATCTCAGTGACCAACGCAATGGCTACAGGGGGGAAGAGGGTGAAATCAGACTGCAACTCGAACTTGCTTGCAGTATACATGCATGAGCGAACTGATGGAAAACCAACTTCTTCAACTCAGAATCAACAATGAACTTGCACTGGCGCCTTGCGCCCGCACAGAAAACTCAGTGATATGTCTTCCACTCAAACGCTGTTCAAACCAACTGTACAACTTGCGGCTATGGCCACCGAACACTGTCTCCGCCACCAGCCTCACTGTCCCTCATGCACGCACATACGAGGATCCACCCTGAATGTCCACTGTACACACACTCACACACTGTACACTAATATGACACTAACAGCTGGGCGGCTATGGCCGCCGCTGTCTTCCTCCTCCTAGCTATGGTTGTCTTCGTCTCCCTCAGCCAGCTATGGCGGTCACCTTCCTCCTCGCCCCCTTCGGCTTCGGGCACCTGCAGACCTCCGCACAAGTTGCTGTTGCAGCGCTTCTGCATGGCTCACAGGCAGAATGAGTGAATGACTGGCCGCTGCCTCTTTATTTATAGCACTCTGCAGGTGGCCTGGCCCGGCCCCAAACTGCGTGGGCTTGGGCCCCAAAACGCGTGGGCCTGGGCCCCAAACCGTGTGAGGGCCTGGGCTGCCCAAATGCTGGGCTAAAACGCGTGGGACTCACCGCGTGGGACCCCCACTTGCCTTGGGTAATTGCTGACGGGACGGACACACACTCCTACGACCTTCTAGACCCTACCAACACTTCCTACGGACTGGGCTGACCCTTCGACCTACGAAGGGACAGGTAGAAGTTTTCAGAAGGGCCCTAAGTAAGCCTATCGGTAAAATACTAACCTACTAATACTGAGATCTATGGATAAAGTCCAACTAACTAACCTGCTGCCCAACCTACGACTCAGGACAGGTCATGGGTTCAAATCTCACTCAGAACATAGGGTCAATGTACAGGGTTTAGGGGCAGGTTTAGGGATCGAATCTCAGTGTCTGCAAAAGTCGGGTCAACTGAGTGAAACCGTTTCAAGGGTGAGGAGGAAATGGAAGAGAAGCAGGAGGATGAAGAGAGCGAAGTCGTCCCCTCTCCTCTCCGACCTTTGCTTCCATCTGCTCTCCATTGTCCTCCCCAAACTTTCCCATCCACCCCGACTTTCTTCCTCCTCGTGCCCTCATCCTGCACGACGTCTTTACGCTCCTCCCCCTGCACCTGTTCAGTCTCATTGTGGCACTGGAACTAAGGAACTGGCCCCGCTGGTGCTATGCTCATTCCTAGAAAGCATGAACTTGGTCCTACCGCCTTCACCCAAATAGAACGCCCGGTCACTATAGCCGCATCTGGACAGAAAATTGCCCTGAAGAGAGCTATAATGATCGGGCGTTCTATTCGGGTGAACATGGTAGGGATGGAGGATAGCGATAGCTCTGGTGGGGTCTGGTTCTGGGCCTTGAGGGAGCTCCGGCATATGCTTATCCTGACGTCATTCCATCTTGCGTGTTCGTTCTTCGGTGCTGATGTTTCCCTATTTGCTGTGCCCCAGGTGATGGCAAGTACAGACGCTTACATTTTCCCCGAAATATTTTACTTGGGTAAGTCGGATGTGCACTATCAGCCTTCCCGAGAAGTTGTTTGTGTATGTGTATAATCCCGGTCTATTTCTTTCTCGGCCTTGTGGCTAAGATCAAGTGTAGAATCTGTTCTGATCAGTTTAATATCTGATCTGTGGTCTGGCGGACCACACACACACAAAAAAAAAGTTTGTTAAACCCTTGTTTGTATTTCTATTTGTCAAGGGAAGTGGGGTTCATGATGGTCCCATCGCCTGAAAGTGGATGTACCTCCTTCTGGGCCCGCTGAAGAGAAGGAACCCCTAACTGCTGATCAAGAGGTTAACCCCCGGTTTGTTTCCCGGCTTCTTTTTCCAACGCAGTGGTTAGCGCACTGCAAATGAAGGCGGGGGTAGGGCCTACTGGACGGAAAAGGTTGGGAGCGCGGGGCAAATCATGTGGCGCGCCGATTTGGAAGGAATTGGCGCGCAGTGAAAATCTGTTTCGGGAAAAATAGGCTCTCAGATATGCTGGTGGTTTAATTGTTCGATTCCGAATTGCCTACAACCATGTGTTTGGAAGGTAGTAAACGAAAATAGATCGTCGTAGTGATCATTGACTTTCGCAATGGACCTGTAAGTTTTGTCATAATATTCTTTATTAAATTCTATTTCGAAATCAGAAGCACAACTGAACCTAGGTGGCTGAATGATACACTAAGGGCATACTCACACTCGGACTTTCCTGGATGTATATGGCCTCCGCTTTTCCACCAAAGCCCTGGATGCACCTGACCTCAATTACATCCACAGAGAAGTGGAAAAAAAGTTGCAGCGTGAGTATGCCCTCATCTAATAACTGTTCGTAAACAGATCAGGAGTCGGGATCCTGACGGAATCAGATGAATTCAATAATGTCAAGGGCAGTGATGAAAACGAAAAAAAAAAAAGAGTGGGTGGTCCTCAATGTTGATTAGAGGGATTGGAGGGAGGGGGAGGGGGGGGATACACATCTAGATGTGTATAAGAGACAGGTGTGTGTGTGTGTGTGTGTTTGCGGGTGGTTTAAACCATCACCACCTTGGAGCCTTATTTTCCCAATGCTTGATTTTGCCCGTCTGGCCTACCGAGTGATTGTGGGGTCGTACCCAGTATACCAGTGAGAGATTTTGTCCTCCCCTGGACATGGACCCACTCTACATCAGTGGTTAAAATGTGGACATGGACTCAGTCTACCTCACCTCTTAAAATGGGGACCTGATCTTTCAGACTGGTCATTCCTTTTGATCCTGGAGCCACCCCTGGACATGGACCCACTCTACCTCAGGTGTTGAACTGGGGAGGCCAGATTCGTGAAGTTAGAGTGACTATCTTGAATGCCTCTCAGAAACAGTGGCAGGTCGCGGATAGTAATTTTCTTTGATTAGGAATGGTGGGATGTACTGTATCTTTCTTCGACACATGTTCACAGGGGAGTTTCTTGGCGGGTAGCGGGTCAATGGACGAAGTGTGCGGAAGTCATCAAGCATCGGGTGTCAATGTCAATGATAGCATTGTTTTCGTGACTGGATAAAAAATATTAAAAATAGATAAAGTGCAATGTATCTGTTCTGATCAGTTTAATATCTGATTCGTGGTCCATCGGACCAAAAAAAAAAAAAAAAAAAAAAAAAAGG